ATTAATATTTAAAATAGAGCTGGGGATTTAGCTCAGCAGTTCAGTGGCCTGCCTTGCAAGCACAAGGACCCGAGTTCAATCCCCAGTACCAAAAGGAAAAAAAATGTAAATATTATGCAGCAAACAAATTCCAAAGTTACAGAGCAAAGAATTCTGGTTTACAAAACAGTGAACAAGTCATGAACAAGGCATACAATTTGCCTTGGTCCCTTTCAAGATTCCACTGAAGTGATAGCTCAAAGTGAAAAAAAATAAAATAAATGGCAAGTGTGATGGCAAACTTCTCAACACAAACCTTTAAATCAAAAAGAGCTTAGACTGAAGTATTTCAAGTCCTAAGAGAAAACAACCTCCAACTCAGTTTGATATATTCAAAAAAGCAATCTTTTGAAATTGATGGAAAAAGAAAATACTTCCATGACAAAGAACACCTGAAAAAATTCATGACCACCAAATTATTCCTCCAGAATATTCTGAAAGCTATTCTAGAAAGAGATGACAAAATTAGAACTCCATGAAAAGCAACAAAATAAATTCCACCAGAGAAGGCAAATAATTAAACCTCTGTTTAAGGAGGAAAGAAAGGGAACAATAGAAAAATAAGATAACAAGAAAAGTCAATACATATCAGTTATAACCATCAATGTAAATGGTCTCAATTCACTAATCTAAAGAAACAGACTGGCAGAAGGAATCAAAAAACAAAATCCAACAATGTACTGCATAGAAGAAATATATTTAACTCAAAAAGAAATTCATAGACTGACTGTCAAAGGGTGGAAAATAATACACCATGTGACAAGAACCCAGAAATAAACAGAGGTAGTTATTCTGTTTTCAGACAAAGTGGATTTCAAGCCATGACTAATCAATGAAGAGAAAGAAATGTCACTATATGTTTGTTAAGGGAACAATCCAAGAGGACAAGATAATAATCATAAACATATATGCACCAAATATGAGTGCAAATAATTATTTAAAATAAATATTAATGGACATAAAAAAATCAAATAAGCAGTAAGACAATTGTAATGAGAGACACCAATAATCCACTGTCACAAATAGATCAACCAAAGAGTCAAAAAATAAATATCAGCACTAAACCAATTTTTGAACAAATGGACTTAGTAGATGTCTACAGAGTATTCCACCCCACATCATCAGAGTGCACATCCTTCTCCACTGCATATGAGATGTTCTCCAAAGTAGATCACATACTAGCTCATAAAATATGGTTAAGAAAATGCAAAGGAAATGAAATTATCCCATGAGTATTATCAGACCATAGTGCAATGAAATTGTAAATCCATGGCAAAGGAAGACACAAACACTTCATAAACACATGGAAATCAAATAACACCTTCAGGAAAAATCAATGGGTCATGATAAAATTAAAGAAGAAATGAGAAAATTTCTAGAATTAAATAATTATGAATAAAACATATACTGGAACTTGTGATACTTGTCATGATAAAATTAAAGAAGAAATGAGAAAATTTCTAGAATTAAATAATTATGCCAATAAAACATACTGGAACTTGTAGGATACAACAAAAGCAGTCCTATGAGGGCAATTTATAGCAGTGAATTCCCACAATAAAACAAATAGCCTATGATGAACTTTGAGCTTCTGGAAAATGAAGAAGTAATACAAGCCCAAATTTGTTTGAGGGAGGAAATTATAAAGATTGGGGTAGAAATTAATGCAATTAAGACTAAGAAAACAACACAAAGAATCAATGAACCAATGAGTTGGTTCTTTGAAAGATTAAATAAGTGACAATCTCATACCAGCCTTTTCAAAAAAGGGAAAGAAAAGACTCAAATTCATACAATTAAGAATAAAAATGGTGAAATTACAACAAATCCTGCAGCAATCCAGCTGATCATTAACACTTACGTTGAGAATCTGTACTCTAATAAGATGGAAAATGCAGAAGAAATGTACAGATTGCTAGATACATATGAATTATCAATGCTGAATAAAGAAGATATAAAGATTCTAAATAACCCAATACAAGTGAATTTGAAGTTGCAATTAAAAACCTACCAACAAAGAAAGTTAAGGTCCTGAAAGATTCACTGCTGAATTCTACAAGAATTTTAGAAAAGGTCTAATGCCACTACACCTCAAACTCTTTAATGAAATTGAAAGGGAAACACAACTCCCAAGCCCATTCCTGGATAAAAACATTATTCTCATACCAACACCAGAGAAATATCCAAGCAAAACATAGAGCTAAAACCAATCTCCCTACTAAACATAGATTCGAAAGTCCACAATAAAATACTGGCAAGAAGAATGCAGTGAATCATCACAAAGATTATACACCATGACCAAATAGAATGCATCCCAGGGATGAGGGGATGGTTAAACATGTGCAAATAATTAAATGTGA